AATGAGAGGGCAGCGTCAACCACCTGGCCCAGGCCCCACTGGCCTTAGGAAGGCTCCGATGGACAGTCCTCCCAGCTTGCCCACGGTAGGAGGGGAGGGTGCTCTGGCGGAGGGAAGAGGCCCCCACAGAACCCGGAGAAGCAGGGTTGGCAGCCCCCCAAGACCTTTGAACTGAGGAGCTGGGGAAAGGTAATTCCCAATGGAGGCCAAAGCCTGACGGCAACGAGGGGGGCACTCGGCCAGAGGCAGGGTTGTGGGTATAGCCTGCCCAGGCCCAAACATCCACCCTGGAAACAGCTCTGCCCAGGGCACAGAGGCGGGCAGAGGGGTCCCCAGAGGGAGGCCCTGGAGGGGGAAGGAAGGAGGCGACCAGGGAAGCTGGCAGAAGCCCAGGCTTGGGGCAGGGGGAGCAGCCTCTCGCAACACTGCGCGAGAAATGCATCAGCCTCTGCCCGTGTCACAGGGGCCCCGCCCCTCCTCCTCACAGCCTCACCCTGAGGAGGGCAGGTGGAGCTCAGTCAGGCATTTTTCCACCCGAGGGCTGCAGGGTGGGCTGGAGAGGTGGACGCAGTGTCAGAACAAGAAGGAAGGGGGTGTACAGACTGGACCAGCCTTCAGGAGACCCAGGGTCCAGGCCTATCTGCCCCAGACTCTGGGCATGTGGCTGCCCCTTCCTGGGCCTCAGTGTCCCCATGTTGAAGGGGGCCTGACAGGAGGCTCTTGCTGGTCTGAAGTGTGGTGGCATGGCTCCAAGAGGCTGAGAGGGGGAGTGCTGGGGCTTTAGGGGAGCTGTGGCCGCAGGGGCTCCTTTCAGGCTCTCATCTCTGGACCAAGGGGTTTTTTTCTGCCTTTCTTCCCTTTCAGATGTGCAGAGTTCTGCTCTGCCATTAATCCCTCCTCCATAACCACAGCCTGACTCAGCCCTGTGCTGGGCACTAGAGTCCCAGCGCTCAGGAAGACCCAGGCCATGCCCTGGGGGAGGTCCCTCCCCAGTCTAGTAGAGGAGCCAGGCTTGTAACCAGGCAATTTAAGCCCAGGGTGCTGGGCTGGCAGAGAGATGAATTCAGAATGCTATGCGGCCTCAGAAGAAATGATCAAACCTTGCCTGGAGCTCTGGAAGGCTTCCTGGAGGAGAGGCCTGAGTCTTGAAGGCTGACTGGTGTTAGCAAAGAAAGAGCTGGACAAGCAGCTAAGGCTGAAGGAGAGCACACAGCACTGTGACCCAGCAAGCAGCTCAGGCTGGCGCTGGGAGCCGGCAAGTGTCAGTCGGGGAGCAGGCAGAAGCCAGAGCAGGGGACTGTATCCCGAGGGGAGCCGTTGGAGCTTGGAGGTGACAGGGTCAAATGTAGGCACTAGAAAGATCTCCACGGGGGTAGGGACTGTTTCCTATTGCTTCCAGTCCCAAGCGAGACACCCCAGTGACTGGGCTCTGGCACAGCCAGAATGAGGGACCCACCCCCAATTCAAGGTCCAGCACCCTGTTCCTCAGGCCTCTCCTGGGCCATGGCAGCTGCACACCCACACAAGCACACATGGCACTGGAGACGTGCGGCCTGTTTTACACGTGTCTCTCACGGCCCTGAGCAATGGCACCCTGGTCCCTGCTGACTGCCAGCATAAAGCCTGGGGGCCCTCAACATTTGGTAGATTGAAGGAGGGGAAGGATGGTTAATCCGACCTGGCTGTTAATTAATCAGTGAGCTCCCCCTCCCCTGCAATAAGGTCCCCAAATTATTGTGTGTCGGTTTTTCTAGACAGTAAGCTGGCAGGCGCAGTCCCGCCGAGCGGCCCACTGGAAGCTCATCCTTTTTCTTAGTCGTTGGGATCCACCTATGAGAGATTCTGATTTCCTCTGGAGGTGGGACAGGGATCTCCCAGAGTTTGGGGGGCTCCCCGCTCCCTTTACACCATGTCAGAGCCTCCTTAGCCTTCCTGCAGAGGCTCATCTCACTCCCATCAGACCCCATGAGCCTCCCCCACCCAGCCCCCAGAAGATGTTCTGAGACTAGGGCTGAAGGCCACGGGCACAGCTCGGCCCTCAGGCGCTGTGTGCTTGGGTGCCAGAGGGTTCCTGAACACCACCTGTGCCTGGACTTTCTCTCAGAAGGGTTTGGGGGGTCACACAGTCCTGGGCAGGGCAGTCCCAGCTCCTCTGTTTCTTAGCTATGTCGGCAAGTGTCAGTCGGGAAGCAGTCTCCTCCTCTAGAGCTCCACCTATAAAGCAAGGAGTGACCTGGCTGGCCCTGCACAAGCCCCGTGGCACGTTCTAATCGTGCCCACTTGACAGATGATCAGACTGAGAAGTTAAGCCGTTTACCTGCGGTCACACAATGAAGTAGGTCAAATCTCAGTTTGCTTGTTTTTCAAACTTCTGCCTGACATGGTGGTTGTAAGAATTAAATGAGGTGATGTCTATCGAGTGACTGGCACAGGGCCGTGCCCCAGTAAGTGCTCCTTGCCTTGCCCACTAACCGGCACTGAGATGTTCCTCTGCAGGGTGGGGTAGGGAGGAGGGAGGAGGAAGTAGAGAGGGCAGAGAATACGCTGTAAGAGCAGCCCAGGGCCCTTGCCTCCCCCAGGAGGAGGCCACGTCTACAGTGGGGTGTGAAAGGACTGGAGAGAGCATTACTGCGTGTCCTGGGGAGAGGCGCCACACTTCTCTGTTACTCTGCCAATAGGGTGGCTGCCAGCACCATGTCTCCCTCCTCTGGGGTAAGAAGGAGCTCCCCAGGGGAGGGAAAGAGATTTGTGGCGATGGTATTATTAATAAACATAATGAGCTGAGATTCAGGGAGCTGGCCTTTTACCTTCCCTTCCCCGGGAGCCGGGAGGAGTCATCAATGTCTAGGATAGGGCGGAGGAGAAGCAGGTGCCTGCAGGGCTTGTGTGATCCTGGAGTGCTGGTGGGGTGGGGGGGCGTGAGTGTGGGACTTCCCTTCTAGGCTTTTCTATGCTACTTTTCTGGGTTAGCTCCACCCAGGAAGCCCACATAAGGACAGACTGGACCCTCCTCTGCTTTTGTTCACTGTTTCTTCCAGACACAATACCGTTTCTCCTCTCCGAGACCACAGCCTAATAAACACTTGGGGCTCGCAGGGCCGTCACCGGCATTGACCACCTTCCCTCATCCAACAAAGGCTTGATAGCCGCCTCTCTCCACAGGCTCTTAACATGACCCTTGGGGTAGAGAAAAAAAGGGCAAAGTCCGGGGCACAGTCAGCTGACACTCCACAGAGCTTTTTCTGGTTTACAGGCAGTTTCCCACACTGGTTTTGTCCAACACTCATCGTGGTCTGTGAGGCAGGCCTCATATTTCCCATTTTGCAGATGAGGAAATTGAGGGTCAGAAGGTCACAAAGTGGCTCCCAAGCCCCCGACCCTGTGTCCTTTCTTTTATAATCCAAGGTTTTTAAGGATGCCAAAAAGAAATGGACAAAACACTGATTAAGGGGGCTGCTATCTTTGTGAAGTACCCCTAAATTAAGACAAGATTCAATGGGGCTGCAGAATCCTAACTGGCCTCTAGGGGGTCCCTAGGCTGGTCCTGGTCTGGGTGGGCCCCACTCTGGCTCAGAGATTGGAGAGAACACGGAGCGCCTGAACCTACAACCTGAGGGTCCTAGAGGCCCTGAAAGTGGAGAACTCCTCCCACACCCCAACAGCAGGGCTGAGGTGGGGAATGGGTGTTGTGCTGGAGGAGGGGGAGGGGAGAGCAGAATTGTTGAAGACCAAGAGTGGGGAAGAATGGCCTATGACCTGAGGTTTGGCCATGAATCCTAATTGTCAGTACACAGATGCACTTCCTGACATTAACGTGTGGCAGCAGGAAGATCTGCAGGCTGAGAGCCAGGAGATCTGAATGTTTAATCCCAGCCTGCTGTGTGACCTCGGGAAATGCCCCAGCCTCTCTGATTCTCTTGACTATTTCTAAGGACCTTCCAGCTTTCGACTGATACCCTCTCCCCACGCCCTGGGTGACCTCTTCCTCCTCCTCCTGTAACATCCAGCCCCTCCTCCTCAGTTCAGCTGCTCCAGCTGCTCCCTGACTTGTGGAACCTGTGGCCCTCTGACTCAGGCAGACCTTTGGGATGTGAGTGGGTGGCCTGGGTGGATTTTGCCCCATGAACTTGCTCTGACCTTTGGCATGACCACCTGTTCCTCTCCTCCTCCACAGCACGCACTTGTGGCCGGTGTTCGGGCAGCCTAGGGACTGTGAGGGACCAGGTTTCTGTAGAGAAGACAGCACCACAGGGGGGCTTCTCATTCGTCAGAGGGCCCAGAGTCGGAGCGGATGCCGAGAGCCCCCTTCCACCCCTCCAGACCCTCTCTGGGAACCATGACATGCCTGGCTGGGATGCTCCACCCCGTCCCACCTCCCAGGCTTCACTGGCTTAAGCCCATCTTACTGAGGGAGATTTGCCAAGAAGGTTCAGAAGTACCCACTGAGGCCGCTTAGGAAACCCCCTAGCACTCTCACTCCTGGCTCAATCCAGGGATGGGGAAATCACCCCTGCCACACCTCAGGTGCGGTGCCCTCGCAGGGGCCGAGCCACATTCGCCCCCACTGCATCGAGATGAGTGGACAGACTAAGGAGCCCTTCTCCAGCCCTCTGAGGCAACTAGTACTGGCCAAGGGGGCCTGAGGACCTCCTGTGTGTCGGGTATTCGAATACAACCGCCTCCGATCCTTACACCACCACTAGTTTACTAAAATAAGGAAACCGAAACTCAACGAGGTCAAGTGGCATGCACAGCGTCACACAGCTACAAAGCGGCAATGACCGAATGATTCAACAGAGCGACTGAATGAAGATTCGGAGGGCAGTGGGTACGGACAGCGCCCGGCGCCCGCGGCCGGCTTCCGGGAAGGCGGGCCCAGGCAGGCCCTCCGCACCCTCGGGCCCAGGGGAGCGCAGGCTCCCAGAGGCGCGGCTCGGCTCTGCCCCTCTCCGCGCGGGCCGCCCCGCCCCCGCCCCGCCCCCCGCCCGGCCCCGCCCGGGACCGCAGACGGCGCCCGGCGGCGGCGCGAACGGCAGCTCTGAGGGTGGCTCGGGGCTCGGGGCTACCCGCGACTTCCCGCGTAGGGCCCGGCCCGGCAAGGACCTGCAGCCCCGGCGGCGCCGGAGGATGCGGCCACGGCCCCGGGCGGCAGCAGCGGGAAGCCTGACGCCCTGCAGGTAGAAGGGCGCCCACTTGGCGGGCGCGGAAACTTGGGCCGAGTTTGCGGGTGGCGCGTGGAGAAGGGGCGGGTGGCGCTGCCCCAGGGCGCCCCTACAGGCCGGCCCGGGGATGGGGCGCAAGGGCCTGGGCCAAGCGGGGCGGCTTCTGGCTGCCGTGGGTCCTCGGCGGGCGGGCTGCCGGGGCAGCTGCTCCGACTTTCCCCGGACTTCGAGGGCTCCCGGGGCCGCGGCGGGGCCCCGGCGCCCGATCCGGCGTGGGGCTGGTGAGAAGGAGCCCAGGCCCGGCCCTCCGGGCCTCCCGCGGGGCTGGCTCACGTGGACTGCCCGGGCGGAGGCGAGGGGGAGGCGGGGGGCTGGGCCAGGGGGGCGGCGGGTGCCGAGGCGTCTCGCGGCCCTGGACGCGCCCTGCTGGGACGGGACTGCCCTGCGGTTTCCTCGCTAGGGCTTGACTCACCCTCTGGCCGCAGCCCAGGCTGGGGATCGCCCCGAGGCGGTGGCTGCCCAGACTCCGCGGCCGAGCCCGTCTTTGGGTCCCCGTCCCCGGGGCACGGTGCGCGGGCCTGCCTGCGTGCACACGTGTGCCGGGGCCCCAGCAAGGGGAAAGGCGTTGCTGGAGGGGAATGTGTGCAGATAAGGGCCGTGCACGTACATGCAGGCACGGGTCTGCGTGCGTGGCGGCGGCCTGTGTATCGGCCTGCTGGGGTGCACGTGTGTTTCAGCGCCGCCAGGCAGGACATGAGGACACCCGGAAGCCCGCAGGGTCGGGGGCGGCGGCAGCCCCAAAGTCAGCTGAGGGCCCCGGGCACCCGAGTTGCTGGCAGGGCAGGTAGTGTGAAGGGGGCGGAGGCCGCTCTCACGACCGTTCCCCCTCCACGGGACCTGAGCTGCCCCGGGTTCGGTTGTAGAAGCCTGGCCCTGAGCCTCTGCCGAGAGGTGTAAGAAGGCTCGGAGGGGGCCGGGACCCCGCCCTCTGAGAGCCCAGACGCTGGTCACAGCTGGGCACGATCGTTGCCTTCTCCTTGGTCTTTCCCATCGCTCATCAGATCTCCCAGGAAGTGGAAGAGGGGATTGGGCCTTGGAGCTGTTTGCTTCCCCTGCTACTTAGACTGGGATGGCCCCGCGCGGGGGTGCGCCCTTCTCCTGGGCCCTGGCTGAGGTGGGTGTCCCCAGCCCACTCCAACCTCAGCCAGCAAACAGCTCGGTGCTGTGACCCTGCACCCTGGGGTCCCCTTTCTCCAAGCAATTGCCTGCCTCTTCAGTATGTGTGTGTGTGTCAGGGAAGGAGGCACCCGCATGTTGGCTACCGTCTTGGGTGGGCAGGGGTGCTTGAGGGAGTGTGCTGGCCATCTACTGGCGGGACGTGACACCCCTCCCCCATACCCTTCATACCTCTTTTGGATCCCTGGAGCCCCCATCTCTCCCCCAAGGATCCTGAGGGACCCAGGTGGCTTCACCTCCTTTGGCTGGCTCCCCGGGGTGGGGGGTGTCTCGGAAAGTCTCCAGGGCAAAGGGCACACAATGGGCAGAGCCCAGGAGAGAAGGACTCCTGGGGCCGGGGGTGGGTGTGGAGCAGGCCCTAGGGAGCATGCCAGGGAGCCGGGGCCAGGGGAGATGCCTGGGTGCTCAGCACCCCCAAAACTCTACAACCCCCTCTTGCAAGGCTGCTGTGCAGCAGGACCGGGGCTTTCCTCCGGGGATGCAGCCCCCTCTCTTAGGGCATTCTTTCGGGCCTGTTGCCCTGCGGCCTCTTCTGCGGAGCATCCCCGTCTCTAGTTTGGCCTGAGGTGTCAGATTCTGGCCAGGAGATGAGCTGACCTATCTGAGAGTCTTACCTGGTTTCCTTGGTGCAGTTAGACTGGGGTGGGAGTGGGTATTGGCCCCCATACTGCCTTGGCTTTTCTTGTCCCCAAAATGTGCTGGTCTAACTCTGAGCCTGTGGCTGCCACTGGCTACCAGCCAGAAGGGAGGAGAGGGGGCTGATTTTGGCCCAGTGGTGATGGAAACCTGTGACACCTGGCCCATCGCCTAATCATAGCAAGACTGTGCTGATTCATCCTTTTAAGCCACCTGAGAGTTTCAGGGCACAGGGCTCTCGGGGAGGTAGAAGTACGTCAGTGGCCCTAGCAGATTAGCCTCAGGTGCCCCCTGAGGGGTCACTGGGGGCCTGCATCCTCTGGGCCTGGGTCGCCATCCTTGCTTGGCCTTTCTTCAGGCCCTTAGTCTTTCTTTGGCACTCAGTCTTTACATCAGTGCGAAGGGTGTAGTTGCCAGCTCTCATGCTGCAGCCCCTGGGCCCTGCCTGGACAGTCACATCCTTCCACCTCCCTACCTGCTTGTCCCTGGTTCCGTACTGCCCCCACATGCCTTGGAATAACCAGCTACTGGGGTGTTGGTGTGGGCACAGTCTCTTCCTGCACACTTTGGGACCTTTGTGCTGGCACCACAGCACCACCTGCCGGGCAGCTGGTTCTCTCCTGCTGGAGGCAGGGCTTGGGTGAAAGGCGTGGGGTGGTACCAAGCAATGCCCTCCATGACCTTTCCCCAGGGACCACCCTCTGGAACCGAGCCCAGAATCTGTGTCGCTTTTGACCTGCAGACCTGGGTTCCAGGCCCAGCTCTGCCATTTTTAATAAGACTGGTAGGTCAGGGAGTGAGATCTAAAGAGCGTCACAGAAACTGAATTTTAGACTGGATGCAATTCCACGTCTTAGCTGTACTGGGCATCTTGGAATAAGAGCTTATTGTGAGAGGTAGGAAGACTCCCTCTCGGTCTCTTTTATCAGTGACTTTGAAATGCGTGGGCCCTCTTCTCTGTATATGGGGAGGGGGTAAGTAGCCAAGTGAATTGATCCTTAGGCTGTGCCCTGCAAAACTTGAAATCCCTAGGAGGGGGTCTTGGGAGTCAGGTGGAAGAAAGCGAAACAGAAGGTGCTCCTGGAGGGGGGGTGGGGGGGTGGGGGTAGGGCTGCTGCACAAGAATTTAATAAACAAAGGGTTGTGCTGCTTGAAATATAAAGCTGGGACTTCTGCATTACGTGGCTCGTGCCTTCATCCATTCACAGTCGTTGTGGAGCATCCACTGAGTGCCAAGTTCCCGGGTGTGGCAGTGAGCCAGCGAGGGCAGAGCCCTCTGTTGTTTGCCTTACGCCTGTTCTCTGATGGCCTGGGCCTTTCTCCCTCTCTCCTAGGTCAGCGGTTGAATAGCTGGGGCCCTGGAGGCTTGAAGCCTTCACAGTGATGGCAGAGAAGCGGCCACTGGGGACCCTGGGGCCTGTGATGTATGGCAAGCTGCCTCGCCTAGAGGCTGACTCTGGGCCTGGACACAGCCTGCCCCCCTCTGCTGGTAACCAGGACCCCTGCAGCTACAAGGGTGCCTACTTCTCCTGCCCCATGGGGGGTGCTCCCAAGGCAGGGTCTGAGCGAGTGGCATCCTGGGCTCCATACCCCCCCTTGTATCCTTCCACCATGGCTGCACCCCCACTTCGGGCAGACAACCTGCTGCCCAGCTGCTTACTGTACCGCCCAGCAGCAGAAAGCTCTGAGAAGGTGCAAGACTCCGGCCCTGTTGACCTCCTGCCCTTCAGTCCCCAGGCCCATTCCTACCCAGGCCCGCCACTTGCAGCGCCCAAACCTGTCTACCGGAACCCTCTGTGTTATGGGCTCTCAACTTGCCTGGGGGAAGGGGCAGCAAAGAGGCCACTGGATGTTGATTGGGCGCTCGTGCCTGGGTCCCTGTTACCACCAGCTGACCCACCTTGTTCTCTGACCCCAGCTCCTGGCAAGGGCCAGTCCCTGGATAGCACCTTCTTGCGTGGTGTGCCGGCCGGGGGATCTGGCAAAGACCCCTCAGTGAGCTTCTCCCCGTGCCAGGCATTCCTGGACAAGTACCGGACCATCCACAGCACAGGCTTCCTGGCTTCCAAGTATGCAGGTCCTTACTCTGGGGACCCCAAGCAGGCATTGTCTGAAGGACCCCCCAGTCCTTGGACCCACCTGGCCCAACCCCTGGGACCAGCCTGCCAGGACGCAGTGCCCACCCACTACCCGCTGCCTTGCCCTCCAGCCTGTCGCCACCCGGAGAAGCCAGGCCCCTACAGCTCGGTGCTTCCCCTGCAGCCTCTGGGGGCACCCAAGGGGGCCGGGTACCCAGCCGGCGGGCTGAGCAGCCCCTACCTGAGGCAGCAGGCAGCCCAGACGCCCTATATGCCCCCAGTGGGGCTGGACACTTACTCCTACCCAGCTGGCCCCCTCCCGGCACCCTCGCCGGGCCTCCAGCTGGATCCCCCTCTTGCTCCGCAGTGCCCGCTGGACTTTGCTCCCCAGACACTGGGCTTCCCTTTCGCCCGGGATGACCTTTCTCTCTGTGGAGCATCCCCAGGGCTCGGAGGGGCGCCATCTTCCCAGAACAGCGTGCAGGCTGTGCCGCAGCCCAGTGCCTTCCAGCGGGCATGCCAGCCTCTGCCTGCCAACCAGCCATGCCCAGAGCCTGTGAGGCCAGCAGAGAAGCCAGTGCAGGAAGCCGAGAAGATGTGGCTGCCCAGCTGCAGGAAAGAGCAGCTCCAGCCCCAGCTGGGTGAGCACCCTGGGGCACCCATTGTAATTGGAGACAGTCCAGTTCCCTGCACCCCACCAGCACTCCCACCCTGTGCCCAGGAGCGCCAGTCTCTTCCTCAGAACCAGGGCGTTCTGCCACCCAGCTCGCCACCAATGCCTATTATTGACAATGTCTTCAGTCTGGCCCCCTACCGTGACTATCTGGATGCTCAGGCGCCCGAGGCCACGGCTGAGCCTGACTCAGCTCCAGCCCCCAAAGGGAGCCAGGACAAAGACTGCAGGGGCACCCTGCCTGGCCAGGAAGCCCCCTCAAGGGCACACTGCTCACTTAGGGAGGAGGTGGCCCTGGACTTGAGTGTGAAGAAGTCTGTGGCAGAGGCTTCTCCTGTCAAGGTCCCTAGTCCTGTGGTGCCTGCCAGACCCACTGCAGCCACGGATGTGCCAGGCATGGGGAACACAGTCCCAGATCTGCCAGACCCAAAAAAGGCAGTAATAGAGGCACCAGAGCTGCCTGGGGAGCCAGTGACCACAGAGGCCTCCCCAAGGACCAACTTCCACAGCTCCGTGGCCTTCATGTTCCGAAAATTCAAGATCCTCCGGCCAGCAGCATTGCCTGCAGCTGTGGTCCCATCCGTGCCCACCTCAGCCCCTGCCTCTACCCAGCCTGCACCCACCCCCCCATCTGTGCCCCTTGGACTACAGATTGTCACCCAGCCCTTGCCCATGGCCTGCTTCAACCTGGCACTGCCCAGCCCTCCAGCTGTGGCTGTGGCCTCTCCCACCCCAGGCCCTCCCCTGGCCCCATCGCCAGCTCCAGCCCGGGCTCCAGCTCCAGGTGCAGGCCCTGCTCCAGCGTCTACCCCAACCGGAGCAGATTCCCCAGAGCAACACTTTGCAGGACTGCACGCATCTCTGTGTGATGCCATCTCAGGCTCAGTGGCCCACTCCCCACCTGAGAAGCTGCGTGAGTGGCTTGAGACGGCTGGGCCTTGGGGCCGGGCGGCGTGGCAGGACTGCCAGGGTGTGCAGGGGCTGCTGGGCAGGCTGCTGTCCCAGCTGCAAAGCTTCGTGTGCACACAGCAGTGCCCCTTCCCCCATGTGGTGCGGGCTGGTGCCATTTTCGTGCCCATCCACCTGGTGAAGGAGCGGCTCTTCCCAAGGTTGCCGCCCGCTTCCGTGGACCATGTGCTTCAGGAGCATCGCGTGGAGCTGCGGCCCACCACACTGTCGGAGGAGCGGGCGCTGCGGGAACGAGCCCTGCATGGCTGCACATCCCGCATGCTGAAGTTGCTGGCACTGCGCCAGTTGCCTGACATCTACCCCGACCTCCTGGGCCTGCAGTGGCGTGACTGTGTGCGCCGCCAGCTGGGTGAGCATGGGGCAGCCCCAGGAGCCGCCGGAGCTGTGTGAGCGAGTGACAGGTGTGTGGGCTGTGTGAGTGGTCACAGCCAGGGGCTGTGGGATTCCTGGGCCTCTGGAAAGGGCAGGAAGGCCCAAGAACTTTGCCAGGGGAGGGAGCCGGCCTTCTAGAGCCCCCCATCATCCCTCTTCACACCAGCGTCAGCGGGAGCCTTCACAGCCTCTTCTGGAAGTCTCTGAACACGCCAGCTGGTGCATCCCCATGGAAACCCTTCCTCAGCCTCCCCTCGTGCTGCGCCTTCCTGGGCGCCCTCCTCCCCTGCTGGGCCTTCTCCATCTTGCAGCAGCCTTCTTCTTTGGGCTCTGGGGCTTTGACGAGGCCGTTTTCTATCTCAGTTCATTTTCCCTGTGTCTGCATCCCACCCAGCCAACCCTCTTCTAAGCCTGAGCCCCAAATAGCCTACTGTGTGCTGGACTTCTGCACATGGTGTTTCTCTGACTCTTCGCTCCTCCCTAACCACGCTCGTGAGCCCACTTCCCACCCCCGTCTCCTCTCCCTTAGTGAACAGCGCCCCCACCCACCTGGCAAGGGTCCCACCCTCCTCCCCACTGTTGCCCTTTGTGCAGTTTTCAGCAGTCCCAGGTGTCTGCATCTGGGGACCTGTGCCCGTGAACCAGAGCATTGTTTTGTGGTTTGCTGTCCCTACTAAACAGTGCCTTACCCATGTTGCTCTCCCATGGCGTGGGTTCAGGTCGCTTGGCCAGCTCTCAGGAAGTGCTGTGGTGTCTCGTGGTGTGTGCCATCTCACTTCTCAGCCAGGGCTTTGGTGATGGTGCCAGCTGGTGTCTGGCGTGACCACCCCTGCACAGGAAGCCTGCGTCGAGGCCCGAGGTCCACCCTGTAGTCTTCCCCTCCCTACTCCCTGCCCCTGCTGCCCAGCCTCTGTCCGGGCTGGGGCTGTGTCTTCACAGGAACCGCCCCTTGTCCCGCCTCCCCGTCACACCTTCCTTGCTCTGGGATTTCACCCGGCCTGGGCTCCAGGCCAGGCGGGAGAAGGATCCCGAGTCAGTGAGGTACAGATGTGAGCTCGGAGTCTGACAGACAAGCATGGCTGACCCCAAGCACTTAGCAGTTGGAGGCCTTGCCCGGATGGGGTGCCAAGCAAATGCAAGTGTGTGCACTGTCTTCCTGGGTGTGGACGAGGGCATGAGTGCCCTGCATCCTTCAGGCCTCCTGGCCCGGTGTTCTCCTGTGGGCTGTCTGTGGCCCAAAGAGGGACAAACCCATTTTTCCTGGGCTGCCTGCTGGACAGTGGGGCCCAGGCACTTCACAGTCCCTTCCTGCTCTGACTGGGCTTGCAAGAGCCTGGGGCCTGGTGAGCAAGTGACTGGGTGCAGCTTCCTGCCTCTGGCTGGGTGCCCCTGTCCTCACGCCCTCCTTGAGCTGTGGCCTCCCCCAGTTTTTGGAGAGCCACTGTTCCGTGGGCAACCTTAGACAGTGTTGGGGTCTGTAGCCTGACTGTGTGTTCATTTTCCAGGTGACTTTGACACTGAGGCTGGATCTGTGGCCTCCTCAGAATCCACCACAGCCAGAGACGAGCTGGAGAGTCTAGCCCTGGCTGGGAAGTCACCTGCCCCCAAGGCCAGGAAGCCCGGGAGGAAGCCACCAACCCCTGGCCCGGAGAAAACAGAGGCACCTGCTGGGGGAGGGTCCAGTGGTGCCTCCCCTGCCCCTATGGGCAGCACCAGCCCACCTGGCCCCACGCTCAGGGCCCGCTTCCGCAGCTTGCTGGAAACCGCCTGGCTCAATGGCCTGGCCCTGCCCACTTGGGGGCACAAGGCCTCAGGACAGGAGCGGCCCTTGCCCCGCCCACAGCTGCTGGGGAGCCAGAGCCATCACCTGTAGCGCTGGACAGCTACTGTCTGGGGATTACTCTCCCTACCCCTCCCTTCTGCCAGCCCAGCTGCCCAGGGCCAGGAGTGGACATGCCCTGGGAGGTTCTCCGGCTCTTACTACTCCCTCCTCCCACCGGACGGGGCTGAGGGCCCCTGAGCTTTTGACTTGAGGGCCTTTGTTGGCAAGGACTACTTCCTATTTCTTCCTTAGAGAAAACGCGAGGGCTTGGGAGCCCAAAGCCTTGGGCTTGAATCCTGGCTCGTGTGTTCCTTGCTGTGTGATCTGGCCGGTCACCTCCTCCCTTGAGCCCTCAGGTCTCTGTTTGTAGAACAGGACAACCAGCCTACCTCACAGGACTGTTGTGGGAGTGATGCCTGACACACCCATTATGGTTTCTTCTCTGCTCCCTCCCCAGGGCAGGGGCCTAGACCCCAGCCACATCCTGGGATTCGAGGCTAAGGCAAGCAGAACCTTCCTCTAGAAAGTTCCTATACCACAGGACTTTGCTCTCTTACAGTGGGATGTTGTTCGGTGTGCGTGACTTACACTTCCCAGAGGCGTCCCCCAGGAAAGCCTGCGGCTGCAGCCCATGCCCCTCATCCCCAGTCTGGAGCACCCCCATCCCCCACCCCCCCGCTGCAGGGGGCACAGCCATCCTTGTTCTGGGCCTGCTGCTCTCACCCCTGGGAGTCCCTAGGCTGGTCCTGAATCAACAACACTGACTTCCCTGGGCTGTGTCCCCTACCTACGGCATTACCCCAAGAAAGCGTGTGTGTGCTGGAAGCTTAGCAGCGGGGACTCAGGGACTAGAAGGCACAGGCTGAGTGATGGCCTGGGAGGTCTCTGAAGATAGGGAGTGGGGATCCTGGCACTGCCAAAGCCCCAGTCAGCCTTGCCCGCTGTGAATCACCCACCTGCAGAGGACTGAGCGACCCGAAGCTGGCAGACGGGCGTGGCCTGGCTGGCATTCGTAACAAGGCTGCGGGCCCTGGAGGCAGGCCATTAAGCATTAAAGCTTTTGGGTTGTTTTTGGACCTGGGGCCTGGCCAGTGAGTGTTTGGGGGTCAGAGGGTGAGTATATCCTTACCAGGTGCCTAACCCTTTGCTCACAGGTGGCAGCAGTCCCTGCACTCAGCCCAGAAGGTGCTGAGACTCCAGCTCCTTTGTGCCAGCTAGCGCTGGCTATGTGGGCCCTTGTCACATGCCCACCAGGCAGCCACTTCCCTGCTAAAGGAAAGCCCCTCCCTCCTGAGACCCTTGTGTGTCCTGGGTTGTTGGTCTGCAGCCCACGGCCCCATGAGAAAGCTGGTCACCAGACCCAGAAGATGACCCTCTCCCAGGAATGCCTAGAACAGAGCTGTCACACCCTCCCCATGCTGGTGACTTTATCCCACTGAGAGGGACAGCTATTCCCACAACTTATCTGGTGTGGGGAGGCCTTTGGGTGTCCCCTCCAGATTCCCTGCCTCTACTGGGTTCTGTTCCCACAGAGGCTTGTTCCCCGGGCTGCTGAGCGGCACCTGGGCCAGGGGTCAGCCCACTAGAGCAGGTCAGGCCTGCCCAGCATCAACTCTAATCTTGGTGGGTCCTACTGAGCCCAGCTCCGTATCCCTCCTGTGTACTGGGCCAGAATTTGGAGCGGCAGGTGCCCTCACCCCCTGTATGTCTATCCACAGCAGACTTGAGTTCCCTGGCCTGTGAAGGGGACAGGCCAGGCGATGGGCAATCCCAGCACACTGGTCACCACTGGGACAGAACCTGGGGGGCAGTTACTGTGGGAGCTCAGGAGGGGCCTCTCCTAGCCTGGGGACGAGGCGTCCTTGGGTCGCAGAAGAGGGGCCGCCTGCAGTAGGCCTTGGGGACAGGAAGGAAGAAGTAGGTAGAAGTGTGAAACGCCGTCTGCGCCGGTTGAGCGGCTCATGCAGAGACCTAGAGGTAGATCTGGAAACGGGGAAGGCCCCGGTGCAGCTGCCCTGCAGGGACTGGCGGGGCCAGGAAGCAAGGCTGGGGACGCATCAGTTTCTAGCACATCCTCAGTGCAGACCTCAGTCCTGCATCCTGAAGAATAGGGATGTGGTGTGTGTGGTTTACAGAAAAAGGGTGAGGACAGCATGGATCGCCTGAGGCTACTTGACTGGAGGGAAGATAGGATTGCAGTGTAGACTGAGTCCTTGGGCCACCAGGACTCAGGCCTGAGAAGCCAGTGCTAACTCCTGCTGTGTTTCTGTCAGCCATCCTGCCCTGGGGACTGCTGGACCGCTATCCTGACTCACCCCGGGGTCACGGAGACCGCTCCAGGAGACTGTAGCCAACCGGGAGGAGTGCCGGGTGATTCTGCACCCCTTTTTATGGTGCCCACTGGGTGGAAGGGGCTGAGATCTGAGGGGACTACATGTCCCTTCCTCCCCACCCCCAGGTGGGTGGGTTCCAGCTTAGGAGTCTAACCAGAGGATGGGGCTGCCCCTGTCACAGAGGCGGGTCTGAGCAGCCCAGCCCAGTCCCGCCCTTCAGCAGAGCTCATCCGGTCGGCAGGCCCAGGGTGTCTGCCCTGCCGGTGTCCATCCCACTGCTGCCCCTGCCCTGACAGCAGTCAGGCTCCAGTCCTGGCCTGACACTTGGGACCTCTGAGTTGGAGGCCATATGTGGCAGGTGCCAGCATGACGTGCCCATGGCCAGGGCAGGTGTCACGTCCGAGGCCCAGGCCTGACTGCCGGGGCTGCCCTGCCCCTCTCCGCTTGTGTCTCATGCCTGTCACCTCTCCTGCTGAATCCAGGCTCCATCCTTCCGCTGAGCCAGGAAGTCCTACTGGCAGCAAGAAGAGTGCCATCTGAGCTTCAGGCCAAACAGAGAATGCTGGTTGCGGGGCGGGTGTCAGAGGGCCTGAGGCAGAATACCTGGGGGCCCCTCACTGCTTACCTGCCTTCCTCCATGGCCCTCAGAGAAGACCCTTTTCTCCACATCCTCTACCTTGCCCCAGGCACACACCCCTGCCCCCGGTTGTCCCCTCCCTACAACCCCCCACCTGCCTCCCCGTGGGAGTGGCAGCTCTGTTTTGCCCTGGGGTCCACATGAGATGCAATGAGTCCTGGTTTGCTCAACAAAGAGGGCCCACCAAGGCGGAGCAGCGGAACAGTGCCCCCACTGCCCCAGCTCCTAGTGGCGGAGCCCAGCCCAGCCCCGCCCTGGTGGCCGTGCCCAGGCGGCACCCAGCTCAGAGGCCTCCCTCTCCTGTCTTTCTTCAGTTTAAGTGCGTGCTGTCCTCCCCACCCAGCCTCCCGAAAGCCAGAATCTGTTTCTAACAAGTCTCCTCAGCTTCACAGGGCTGGAAGTGGGTGCTGCTGGCCTTGGGCTGTGCCCTGCTGCCTCCCAAGCCCCTTCCAGGCTGGCAAGAGGCCTAGGCCCCCCTCGCTGCTGGTGCCCCCCGAGTCCTCTTCACACCTGCTCCCTGCAGCCAGAGGTGTGTCTGTCTACGGCCAGGTGGAGGTCCGGGGCAGATTTTGCCCACCAGTTCAGACCCAGGTGCACCAGCGTGTGAACAGCTCCTCCTGACTTGCGGATCGGCCTCGCTCAGCCCCAGTGGTGAGTGGGAGGATGTCTGCTCTCTTCCAGAACTGGCCCACCGCACACCTTTGTCCTCCTGGGCTCCCTGGCAGAGGGATGCATGTCACTTACCCCTCTGACTGCCCTGAAGCCCAACCCAAACCTCCTCTGCCCCAAAGAACCTTTCCCTGAGGGTCATCCCTACCCTCATACCCCCTCACACAGAGTGTTTAGTAGGGGCTCATGTTAGGGGTGGGTTTTTGGGGGTGACATATGAGAGTCTAGGGCCCACAAAGCTGTAATTCCTATAGAGCAAGGACCCTCATCTTCCCAAGCCCCACCTTCCAGGACAAGCCAGAGCCCTGCTTCCTGTGGTCTTGTGCCTGCTGGGAGCTGTGCTTGCCCAGGCTTACCTAATTTGACATGCCCATGAGACAGAAGGGGAGGCAGGACTAGCAGGCGGTCACCCCAGGACAGAGTCGCCAACACCCTTTCTGTTCTGTGCCCTGCAGGGTACACCTCAGAGCACCTAGGGCTGGAGAAGCTGCCCATCACCTTGGTGATCCCGAGATCAGCACCCTGCTCATGGCAAAGGCCAACTCACACCTGCTGAGCAGCCTGCAAGCAGGTGTAGCCCCCCCAACCCCACTCACCGGTGGCCTGGGAGGATGTTCCCAGAGGCCCTGGGGCTGACAGCAGGATCACGAGGACCGGGCATCCCAAGCAGGCCCTGTCCGGGGGTAGCTCTGGGCTCCAGCGTCAGAACCGTTCAGCAGGGCCCTTCCCCTGCGAGGCTCGCAACTGCTCCGCCCTCAGCACCAGCTTTCTCCTCCCTGCCCCTCTGGGTGACAGAACCTCTGGAGGCTGTAGCCTGGTAAGCAGGGAGGGCGAGGGGGCCGAGGGCCTCCCAGCCTTCCCTCACCTGCCAGCTCTTCTCCTACTGAGAGTGGCCTTCAGGCTGCAGCATGAGGGCTGCAACTAGACAGGCACTTATATTGTTTGTTGAGCCTCAACTAGGCTGTGAGCTGAGGGTGGGGATAGGGTCTGCCTTAAGTGGACAGGATGTCCCAGGACATCTGCTTATGCTCTTGACCCCTGTGGTCTCTTCCGGGCATGACATGCCCCATGCTTAAGTGCCAGCACATGGCCACAGTGACTTCTCTGCCACCCTCTCTTCCTTGGGCCAGGGTCAGGGCACCTGAGGTTCTAGGCAGAGCTGGAGTGCAGAGTCAGGCCTGGCAGGTGGTGCCCAGGTGCTGCAGGCCCCAGACACCAGCCCACGGACCTGAGTTCCCTAACTTTGGCTGGTGAGTGATACCCCCCACCAGCCTGCTGCCCCTCCAGGGAGTGAGCCTGGGTACAGCTGACCCTTTGTCTGCTTCTGTGCCCTCCTGTGCCTGCCAGGCTTGCAGCTAAACATGACTGTTTTGCCTATTTCCTAGACTATTCTCAAAGGAAGTTTATAGGGCCTCTCAGGGATATCATGTCTTTTGTCCATCAGGTCCTGCCAGACATGTGGGCACTTCAGTATGCCTGGGAACAGGCTGGAGGTAGCCAGGGGCCGTGACCTCCTTCTGGGACCTAGCCCCAGGGGTTCCCATAGGCCCTTCTCCATCTGAGCAAAGGCCTGGTAGGCAGCTGCCCCTTATCCCTGGAGGGCACTTGGGGAGGTGGAAGTAAGGGGAGGAAAGTCAGGCAAGAGATCTGTCCCTGCCTTTCCCGCCCAAGGCCGGCTGAATGAGGGGTGCGCATCCCTGCCTGCCTCCCCTTCCTACAGGTGCAGCAGGGGCTCAGCCCCTTCCCTGACCTCCAGCAGGTGCTGATTTCAGATTCCCAGGGAGTGCTTCTGGGGTGGCCCTTTTCATACTCTCCCTGAGCTTCAGGCCCTGGTGAACCACTGGCCCAGTGGAGCCTTGGCCTGGGCCAGCTTGTTTCCTGCACTGCCACCAACCAGAACCTGGGGCTGTGTGCCCTGACCCCTGGGTAGACAGAAGGAAGAAGCCGAGACCCCTTCCAGGTTCAGACCTGAGGAAAGCCCCTGCCGTGGGGATGGGTAGTGAAGAATGTGGGCTCTGGAGTCAGGGGGCTGCGGTTCTGGCGTTGGGCAAGTCTTACCTTCTCTGCCTCCCTCTCCTCAGCTGTGGGGTGGGAATAAAAGCACCTGTCTCACAGGTGTGTGATGAGCTTTAGGTCGTTAGCCTGAATGGGGTTCTGGGGGAGGTGGTGGGCAGCATGATCAAGGCTACATTGCATGTCCATTTCTCTGAATCCCTGATTTTTTCATTCTCCAGGGACTCGAAGTCACTGTGAAAAACAAATCTGTACGATGCAGGTGGTGGGCATGGGAAATGTACCTAGCAGGCCCCATCTTGTCCAAAGGGAAGAGACTTGCTTGCCCGTGTGGGGAGCTGGTATTCCTGGGCCAGGCCCGCCCACTGTTCTGCAGACACCCTGGTGGCCATCTGGCCGCCCCACCTTCCAGGGTGGGCCTTTT